TAGCCTGTGAATAATGTGACAGGTAATTTTTATACTTCTTGCCAGTGCTTAAGTCTGAGTGAAGATACGGAAAACAACTTTTATGGCCTAGGTGTAAAAATAAATGTTCTATAAGCCCTGCATAAAATATTTCATGCTAAGTATGTGTCCATCAATAAATAACAAAAAAGGCGTTTGGTTTGTGGTGTTTTTTTTGGTTTTTTTTTTTTTTTTTGGCTATTGTTTGTGTGTTTTTTTTTGTTGTTTTTTTTTTTTTGGTGGGATTTTTTTTTTTTTTTTAATAACAATGTTCAGTAACTTTTTTTTTCTCAAAGCAAAATGATAATGCTAACACTGATGTAACCTACCACGTTATCACAGACAGGATTTAAGATTCTGTGTTATCAGACAGGATGATAGGATTCAATTATGTACTAGTATGCACTGAGAAAGGTAAGTAACATGCAGACAACATAGGTAATCATCTAGCTATAATGTAAAAATTATATTCCTCATGAAACTGTTGACTGCAATGACATAGAAATGAATATTTTCCATCTTGAAAATGCTCAAAATGCTCCTCTACCAACTTCAGTATGCAAGTGATTGAAACAGCTTCAAAATGCTGAACACTTTAATATTTGGTTTACAGTGCTGAAGAAACAATCATATCTCTAGCTGAAATCATGGCAAACTCAGATTATATTTTGTCTTGTACCCAAAGCAGGGCTATTTCTCTGCTTCTGTGCTTTAGTTATGTTCCAGTACTTCAGCAACTATGCTATAAACTGTGCTAAGACAGACATAATCAAACTGAATTAACTTGCAACAATGGGACTGGTTCTTTTCTCTTTAGTGAAGAAGTTTCAAGTTTCAAGTAACTCTGATTACACAGAAATGATCTTAGGAATGTAAGCCACAAGTTCTCTTCCTCCATAGGTTTTCCACCCATTGCCTTTAAACCACACTGATTATATCCACTTTCTGAAATAAATCATTCTATCCTCACAAAACAACTTGCTTAACAATTAAGAGTTCTGTTAAGTCTGTGACTTAAGCCACTTTTATCACAGCCACAGATTTGAATAATGAGCCTTTTATTTCTGTAAAGATTAAGTTTCAATTATTTTTAACACTTGTATTTCGTAGACATCATTCACAAGAGCAGACTTGGGTCTACAGCGACTGTTAGTTCATATGGAATAAAACAGTTATCAGTCACGCATCTGAAATAAACCAATTATTATTAGAATTTCCATTAATGTGAGAATTTAAAAAAGATGTTAAAAAGCAACAGAGGAGGATGAAAAAAATGTGTAAGGTAAGAAAAAAGTGATATAGCAGTATTTTTGTTACACAGGCACACAATCAATGCATTCATTCAGAAAGAAGAACAATGAAGAATTAAAATATAAAATGCATGCATGCTCTTCAGATCACACACCACCGCATCCAATGCTTTCAGATACTCTTAATTTACAACCAAGTAACCAAGAGCTGAGCTTTAATCATGCTGTTTAAAATATAAAAACGCCACAGGTGAAGAATTTAAGACACTAAGCAGAATCGCAATGAACAGTGATGTATCCAAAATCACAGTTTTGTCCATTATATGCACATAGTTTATATCATTACAGAGATATTTATGTATTATACCTGTTGTAACATTTTTCAGTTTGAAAATACACTGACATAGAAACACAACTTATATTTTCAAGGATACAGAAATAGCCCACAGGTGGAAAAAAAAATAAATCTGAATTTACTCACTTGCTCCAATTTGTCATTCCTGATGTACCAATGATCATATCCTGATGTACCAATGATCATACAACTGAGTAATTCCATTGATACCTAGCTCTTACTGAAGTACTTAAAGAGTAGTACAGAGCTTTGTTACTATAACAACAAAGACAAGCCTGCGACTAAGGACCTCTTTTACTTTATACTGCTCTTTCTTGTTGATGTAAAGCTAAGTGAAGATGTTTCTAATACTATTCTCCACTGAGGTGAGGACTAATAGACTTATAATAATGGGCTTTCACTGTTAGAGAAACTTATGTTTTAAATCAACATTGTATCTCTCTCTGGAGGCTTTATATGGTCACTTAGATGTAAATTAATCATTAACTTGAACAGCATGACACCTCCTCAAGTTAAGATAATCTGTGCTATTAGGAAAATCTTATCAGCCTTTCTCCTAGTAGATTACAAATCAGAATGTGACCCTCATGTGGAGGTAAAGCCAGTGCATCAGAGGTTAGGAAGAGAGGAAGGCTTTCTTCAGTAACTGTATGAGAATTCTTGGAAATTGAGTTAATATTACTTTTTTTTTCCACTTGAGAAATTCTTCCAAGTTTACTTCTTACTTGCAGACTAAAACGCTGCATATTTTCTGCTAGTAAATAAATGAGTTACATTTCTCTCAGTGCATTTTTATACTAGTGGTTCAATACTTAGAATGTGCTTTTACTAGCTCACAGATCTGACCACAGGCATTTGCCATGCAGATTTAACCTCCCTAAGGCTGTGTGGTTTGCTGTATTAGATAATTCCAAACAAGACAGTTTTACTTACTCTTCTGGTCTGAATGTTTCCTCTTACAACTTTTATTCCCTCTTATTTACTCCTTGGGTTGCTGCCAATGAAAAGCTTTTAAAACCTTCTCTCTGAAAATTGGCATTACACTGACTGTGTAAGAAATGCATTTCTAAATCTGACCTATAACTGTTGCTCTGTAGGCAGACTGCAAGACACAGGTCTTTGGCTTTTCTACTCTAAAACTTTGAGTGTGGAATAGCATCAGTTTTCTGTGACTCTGCATGCTGACAGGTGGATAAAATAAACTACTAATGTATATTCCAAAAGAAAATTTCCCGAGTAGGTCACAATAGTGAAAGAGACAGTAGAAGAAACCAACCTGGCAAAATGATAGTCTATCAAGAAAATCATATCAAAACATCTCATTTCTGAAATCTGGTTTCCCAAACTCAAACCATGTTTCGCAATGAAGCTGACAAAGCTGAGGCATAGTTAAAAAAGCTGAATGGCTTGAAAACAAACCAATCCCCCTCCCTGCAACTTGAATATTATTTGCAGTCACTGATCTGCACAAGAGAATTTCCTACAATATTTATTAGTACAGTTGTAAATCCAGAATAATTTGTCTCCCTTATAACAATACTATCCCTATTTGATACAATAAACATAATCCCCAATGAACAGTTGCAATAAACAGTAGAAAATAAACAGATTCCTTGTCTGACAGAATATAGGGGAAACAATAAGCCTATGTTTTAAGGGACTGTTAATAACTGCTTTAATAAATAACAAAAATATAGCCAAGAATCCAAATTTAGTAATTCTGTGTGACTTCACTTTTAGGCATAAAAAAATCAACCGCTTGCCAACAGAAATTTACGTATTTTGCTAAGCAGGTTTATTTCTCACATAAACCAAAACTCATGGGGTCAAGATCTCCTGTGGTTTGAGAGGTGTAGTATATCAACCTCAGGACTGAAGATTACACTTATCTCAAGTCTATTTCCAGGAAAGAATTTTGCAAGAAGGACAAATGCTGAGTTTTCCACAGAGAATCAAATTTGCTGTGCCATTTTTAAGCAAATATGAAAATGTTTTATGATTCGAATTACTTTACCAAGTGTATCTGAGAGACAAAAATGCACATCTGCAAAGTTAACTGAACGCTAAGAATAACTTTGGTAGGATTGGAATAGAAAATAGCCAAAGCAACCTTCAGTATTCGTACTATAAATGTTGCATAAATGTTGCTGGGAAATACTTATTATTTTGATATACTGAAGTCTGCAGATCCTTTCTCATGTGTTATAGATCCTATATACACAGATCTGGAATTAAAATTATGTAGAAGAGCTGCTAACTGACAACAGAAATTTGCACTGGTCCACAAGCCTATCACAAACATTGCACTCTTTGCCTCTTGCCTTCACATTATCCTTACAGCAATTGCCTTGTGTTTAAATCTGAAACAGAATATTTTGCCTAATAGGTGAAGTGATTTCTGTTTAGAAACAGAAGTCTCCTTATTTATATAAATTCTTGACTTAATCTATTTTAAGTTACACAACAACATGACAATGATCTGGCATATTTCTGTTTAGGTTTGCACTTGTTAGTAGAAACATGTTAGCAGGCAGTGCCAGGAAGCATTCCAGTTCAAAGCATCTTCAGCTTTCCTCTTGAAATTGGAAAGATGTGCTAATATGTAGATAAGCACAGCGCAAGAAGAGAAATGAGGGGAATATGAAGTCACTGCATTGTTACATTGTTACGTTGGCAAGAAACCTTTTCTCATGACCAATAGCTAATGCCAGGCCTCCTCATCCTCAGCTGACAAACTGAGGGGACGTTTGGCTTTCCAGGTGCAAATATAACCTACAGTAGTGAAGGCTGAGGACAGACACGCTTTCTGAACAGTTTATCTGTGTCCAATTCCAACCTGGTCTCCAAACAGTGAAATACATCTCTTCTTTCTACTTACCTTGCAGAAGACAATGGACTGAAAAAGAACATGGTGTTTTGAAGACTTCAATCAAGCATACATATCTATACAACCAACATATATACTAGAGTCATATTTTGCCCACAAGTATGAAAACAAAGTTAATTTTGAATGGTGTTGCATCATACTGTGCAGGAAAAAAAATACACACCGAAACTTGTTTCCCTATACTGAAAGCTGTTGGGTTAGATAACATGTAACCTATAATACTATCAGTAATATTACAATTTTTAATATAATGTCGTGTTCCCCCCTTTTTTCTTTTCATTTGTTCTAAACATTCATCTGTTTGCTTGAATGCCATACCCCTATAAAATCAGTCACTCTGAAGTGTTAATCCGCTGAAGATCTAAGAAGATGCACTTAGAGAAGATGACTTTACATTACAACATGCTTTTCATGTAAGGATATAACCTGAGAAAACCTAATTCTATCTCTTTCTGGTATCTTCAATTTGACCATTTTTATTTCTAACTACCTCTGACGTCTTGATGTCCTCATAAGAAAACTGCGTGACAGGTACTCCGAGATGGTTGATGAAATAATCTGAATCTCCCTGTATCTGCACAGAACTCACATTAGATCCTGGACATCTAGTCTTTTCCACACACTTGAAGCTCTGGCTCTGAAAAACAAAAAGAAATCAAAATTCTAGTTACATATTTGCAACCAGGCTCTTAATCACTTGTATCAGTATCTCATTTACACGGCATTCTTTGGATGGAAGCATTTTAAGAACAGCCTGGAACTTACAGTGGTGCAAACAGGTATTAGTTGGTTCATACTTACTAGTGAGTGAGTTTGCAAACTTTTTACCCTCTACTGATATATATTGTAGGATCAGACATAGCAGAGAATGAAGTGTGCTGCAACATGGCTGAGTCTTTCAAAGGGCAAGGAAAGTCATCTCTAATTGAAATAGTAGGAGTGGCAAGAGAAGAAGCCTTTGGTAGGCTGTGAAATGTCCCATGCTGGGCAGCAGATCATAGGTCATCATGGTGCCTCTTGGAAGCATATTCCCACGTCTTTAATGGCTAATTAAGGAATTAATTCTGTATTCAGTTAATAGCATGCTCTCTAACAGCAAAAAGATGAATGAGATTATCATATTCAGGATATCTGATAATGTATGAAATGCTGGCAATTTTTCTGTGTAAATTGCTTTAAACAATTCCAATCAGTGACATGTTTGTATTTCTTTCAAATAAGCTTTTTATGGGAAGTCTTAGCAACAAAACGGTAACATATAAGAAGAAAACTGGAAAACAAGGCCAAGACTGAGTGCTACATACTCGTGTAGCTCCCAAATATATTAGGTAACTAAATACTTCATAAGCAGTAGGCATAAAAGCTTTCAGTATCTATTAGAGCAAATAATTTAGGGTTTTTTTAAGAATGTTAGGAAGTTGAAGTACTAGAGATTATTTTGTTTTAGCTAACAGTTTACATAGTGTAACTTCAGTTCCTCAGACCTACCTACTAAGTAATTACTAGCTTGCTACAAAACCAGCATAAGATTAGTTCTCCTTTAATAACTAAAATGCACCAGATTCTATATATTAAAGATCATGAGCTTGGCAGGAAAATGTTATAAGAGTTAAAAAAAGACAAATCTTGGTATTTTTCCATGTTTAAATTAGCATAATTTTTGCTTCACTGTTTCACTTCAGTGCTATGAAGAATGTAATTGCGTATTATCCACTGTATATGACAGAAGAAGCCCAAACTATATACTCATTTCAAAAGGTATTTTTAAATAACTACACTTTATCTTCTACAGTTTTTCTCAGTCAAAAACATTGTACAGCAGTGCTGTGGTTTAAGCCCAGCTGGTAACTCAGACCTACACAGCTGCTAGCTCACTGCTTCCCTTCTCCCCATCCCACTCCCAGTGGGATGGGGAGGAGAACTGGAAGAATGTAAATTCCATGGCTTGAGATCAGAACAGTCCAATAAGTAAAAATAACTACTACTACTACTACTACCATCAATAATAATAATGGTAAGGGAAATAACAAGGGGGGAGAATATAAACCTAAAAAAGGGAAGGACCCCCCCCCCCCCCCCCCCAGTAAACTTAAGCAATGAACAATACAATTGCTCACCACCCACCAATTGATACCCAGCCCAACCTGAGCACAAGTCTGGGTCTTCTGGGTAACTCTCCCCAGTTTATATACTGGGCATGATGTGCTGTGGTAGGAATATCCCTTTGGCTAGTTTGGGTCAGGTGTCCTGCCTCTGGTTCCTCCTGGCTTCTTGTGCTCCTACTCACTGGCAGAGCATGAGAGACTGAAAAGTCTTTCACCGGGGTAAGCACTACTGAGCAACAACTAAAACATCAGCGTGTTACCACACTGTTCTCAGACTAAGATCAAAACACAGCACTGCACCAGCTACTTAGAAAGAGAAAACTAACTGTTACAGCTGAACCCAAGACAAGCACACACAAAGGCATGTCTATAATTTTAAGCATATATATGCACACAAGATCCATTCTTAACTGATTGCTCCTTTCAGAAATTATGTTTTAAGTATCATGCCATGCACTATGCTACAGTGTAGATTAGACTATATTGCAACTTCTTCATACTGCTCAATGCATCTGGTCCGGTTTCATAAATGATGAGTAGTCTGTTCCTTCTTTAATGTTTAAAAGTTTACTGAATGACACAACACACAGCTTTTTGCTTCAACAGGAAAATCTCTGAAATAAGCAAAAAACCAGTTACCTACCAAAGTCACAAATTGCAAAGTTAAATGACCAAATTAATACCAATAAAAGTGTTGGGCAAAACAATTCAGTATCAGAAAAGACAGGGCTGAAGAGTCAATGATCCATAAGAAAGCTGGAAGGATCTTTTCTTTCTAAAAAGACCTGAACCTAGCTCTGAGCAAACACAATGGCAGACAAACTCTTCAAGGCTAATGCTACTTGCATTTACTAAGGTTAAGAACTTACGTAACTATTGTGACTATCCAAAATTAATTTTTTAGAAGTAATTAACAGAAGGGATATCTTGAAGTGTGGCATGGACCATCAAAATCTTACCATATACCTCACAGAGGTAAGGAAATTGAGCAGGAAAATGAATGTACCTTTTTTACCTTGTCAATCTAAATCTTTATACCTTTCACTCTAACCTTTCATCATCTCCTATGTATCTGTACCTAGAATTTATTGCGGGGTTTTCGGAAAAGGAATACTGTAAGCTGCTGCCTGGAGGTACAAGTGTGGACTTGGAATTTATACCCAGAATTCCCATTTGGGGAGGGGGTAACAGAGGATAATCAAAAAGGAAAACAAGGGTTTATGCAATGAATAACACTTCCCACAGCAAAAAAAAAAAAAAAAAAAGCCAGAATTTTTTAATCTGGTATGTGAGAAGTCAACTGGTGTAACTGTAAGAATGAAGTTCTAAGACATTTTCCATTAGTGCCATCTCACTATACCCCCAAATGGTTGGCTAAATATCAAGTCATCTACTAAGAAGATTACATTTCACATAAAAGCAACTGAGGTTATAGATACTGCATGGACACAGCTAATTAAGACTATTTTGATATTGTTCTGTATTGTTTCTGAGAAAATGATGGTGGAGTCAGTTAATTCATAATATACACCAGACACCACTTCTGTTAGCATGCAGGAACCTAAGAGACACCTTCCTTTTCCAGAAACCCAAGGTTTTAGCCAGCATTCCACCCCTCAGAAAACACTACATTCCATTTTAACTGTTCAAAACCATGTTACTTTTTTCCTTACTGTAAGCAACAATGAAATATTTTTCCTTATGAAAGTTTACTTATGTTTACAGATTTGGTTAAGAGTACAACGAGATACGTATTTTTTGGCTTTTACATCACCAGCCTTCACGGTATAGGATTTATATTTTCATGACAGCAATATTCAATTCCATAGGGCTAGCATCCTAAGAGTTTAACTGCTTTGTTCAACTTTCACTGCTGCTAGGAAATGAAGGTCACTCCTTAGTAAAAGACTGCTAGGGGACGTGGGTCACAGAATTGACCTGAGTAGGAAAGAAGATTACAACAATGCCAATGTCTAGAAACATGGGATTTAAAAGCATTTTAAAGTTCTTTAACGCCAAATAACTTGTCAATCATCATGTAATAGAAACTGTGTATCGCTTTGGCATTGAGGTGTCCCTGCCCATGGCAGGGGGGTTGGAACTAGATGATCTTAAGGGCCTTTCCAACCCTGACTATTCTATGATTCTATGATTCTGCTTTCCCTTTCCTTCCCCCCTATCCCAACTAGTCTGCTATTTTTGCACATGTAAATCTGAAACAGTGTCAATTTGATTAGTTCTAATTCTAAGAATCCACAGAATCTTTCCTTTCATATAAGCAAAAATAACTAGTTTGTGAATTCCCCAGTCTGGAAAAAAAGTTATGCATTATTTCATCAGTTGCAGTCAGGTCCTACTTAATGATCCTTTAAATGTTAGCTTTTATGTAGGAAAAATAAAAACAAACCCACAAAACCCTCCACCAAAATTAAAAATGCATCTAGAATAAATTATCAGCAATATGGTTTGTAGGAACTACCTCCCAGTTGTAGAACAGGCAAACTGCATTTCTTCAACTAGTTAGTCTTACAGTAAAACACACATAATAGCACTGTTCAAATCATTTAGTTGCTCATGCTGATCTCCACTGTGTCAATCAAGCCCTCCCCTCAGACTGGAAGGAAATCAATCCATGGGGTTAGACAGTAATCAAGGAGTGGTTCATGCCAGTATAAGGATGCACATGCTATTCATAATGGAATAATTTTATTTCTCTGGAGTTCATTTTGGTTTTGGCATCGTGTTAGAGGTTTATTTTACAAATTTGAGAAAACTAAGAGTACCATATGGCCCATTAAATATATTTGATTTAGGTTAATGTTATAAAACAGATCTGACACATATAAAGTACAATCAAGTGGTACTTCACTGCAGACCTTATTCTAACACTAATTAGATCTAAGCATTCATAGGTGCCTTTTGTGGCAATGTTAAGATCCTGGTATAAATAAAAGCCTATATTAAAAAAGAAAAAAAAAATCTTGGCCATTTCTATGGTTCACTTTTTACTGACAGTTACACATTCAGAGACATGTACCTGTCAGTTAGCTCTGCCTACCTTCCTTCTTTTATGTGACTCCAGCTGAAACTAAAACCTTGGCAGCTTCTGAGAAAGGATTAAAATATTTAAGTAGTTTTTCAACAGGACAAATGAAGAATGACCAATTATTCTTGCAGTGAACCCAGTTTCAGAATAACAGCAAGGAAGCTTATTCTTCATGAATAATCAAACTTTGTTCCATGAGTTGAATCACCACCTGTATTAGTAGCAGTTGCAAGGAAAACACATTTAGGAAGCCAAAGCATGGTAGCCATCTAAATAATAAAATAATAAATAATAAAAAAACACTAGCATAATATATTAAATTAATCACAGGCCATGTAAAAATGCAGAAAGCAACAGATTAGCATCTTTATTACTGCAAATGTGTTACACTAAATTATCATCACAGGTAGGAAGGGCCAGAGAAGCTGCATAGCAAAAGATTCACAAGTATATACCTCCTCTCATCTATAAATCCCTGCTACACTG